GCTTGTCTGAGTTTGAATTTTCTTACATAATTTCACTCAGCGTGTAGCAATTACCAATTAATAATAAATGTTGGAATGAAACAGAATACAAACCATGATGATTAGTAACCAATTTAGGAAATCTACAAAATTATTTATCTCAATAATAGACCCTCCTTAGTGTAGTGCATTTAATCAGCTTTAATGTTAATGTATTAGGTCACTGCTTTGCTGATAGACCTTTAATCTAGAATTACTAAAAGAGATCTATGAAGAATTGTACTGCCATTTATTCCAGAGAGGTTTTAAAACAAAATTACTTTGCTTTTTAATATTGCTCCCTGCTCAGTTAGCAGAAAGGAATTTTGAAGACCTTTTTTACTTATTTGTGCTTTTACTTCACTTTCTTTTAATTTCAGAAATCTATTGTGGTAACTGTTCAGTAGCAAGCGATAAGCAGTTAGCTTAGTAGGTGATAAAATAAATGAAACATATTTTCAATAAGGTTGAACAGTTGTGGTCAATACCATCAAAAAATTATTCTTCCTGTTGGAAAAACAAACTTAATGATGCTTAAAGAAACATCATCATGGCAAAAGACTTTAATGCAATCTCACATTCTGCTGCTTTCTTCGTTGCCGTTGATCATAACTATATTAAGTCATTACAGCTTGTTTCTGGCAGAAATGTGCATTGCTTCTGATTCAAAGAAAAAAAATACATTTCAGAACTCATGGGGACACACATATAGCACCTATACATCTTTTCCAGGAGGCAGAATGCAAAAGCTTTGTGTTCCTTGGAAAACGCAAAGTTGTTTACAGTTGTGCCTCCATGCACTCTATGCACACAGTTGTGCCTCCAGGCACTTAACAGCATCAAACAGTCCCAGACCTAAACAAGGGATAGAAGAAATTTGGTTCACTTAAACTGAACCAATAAATGTTCCTGGCATATGAACTGGTCACAATTTTCATTGATTTCCTCTGCCACATTGGACTGGACTACCTTCCAATTAGAAACTGATGACAGTTTGAAGCAGTTGATACACTGCAACCACTTCCCATACAAAGATTTTGGAGAGGTCCAGGAAACTGAGGGGGGAAAAAAACATAGCCTTTACAACTCTATTGTCAAAACCTACACAAAGAACACCTCTTTCTTAGACAATGACAACCAGTCGTTTAAGCAGAAACTGAATAGATTATTGAAAGTGGCTGACAGCAGTAGTAACATGAGATTCATTAAAGACAGATTGATGTATAATAGTGATGGTGAACCATTTCGGCACCGAGTGCCCAAACTGGAAAGTGTGTGTGTGCCAGAGCACTGGAAACTTGAAGACCAGCTGGATGGTATGCACACCTGGTTTTCAGGTTTCCGGCTTGCATGAACGTGCTGGAAACCAGAAGAGCAGCTGGCAACAGCGCATGTGCCCACAGAAAGGGCTCTGTGTGCCACCTTTGGCAGGCATGACTAGGTTTGCCATCATGGATGTATAACTTGATCTATAATTGTTATAGTAGAAATCAGTGAACACAGTATTTGTATCATACTGTTATCAAAGAAATAAACTTTAAGAACATTTAAGTTATCAATTACTCTGAAAATATATCTTTGAAGTGAAATTAAGAAACATAATCAATAGCATGTAAGGTTTATAGCAGGGAAAGTTGATACAACAACAACAATGGAATTGTAACCACAAAATAAAGGCCATTTGCATTGATGTAAACTCTTTAAGGCAGTCCACACAAGGAAATCAAAATCATGAATATTAACACTACCTTTATTATCAGGATCTTACAATTCTAAAAGCCCTCCCCTCCTGCCTTTACATCTCAGAGGACTAGGGAAGGTTAAGCTTCAGATTACATTTCTAGCTTGGACAGAGATTTCATTTATCAGACCCTGATTGCAGCTCTTCCTCCTATTTCTCAAGGTTATGCTCACAGGCCAAGACAAGAAAAGATCAACAGACAACAGGTGATATTCACATGAAACAAGAAAATGCTCAGTATTCTGTGAAAGGCAATGTTTTAAACTTCTCAGAGGAGTGGACAATTTCTGGCTTTTTTGCTAGGCCATTTTTAAAGCTTAAATATTCTTTGAATTAAAATGTTTGTCCACTTTTTGTTTCTACTCAAGCAATAACACATTGTAAACATGAATTAAAAAGCTACTTAAAATAATTCAGTGTTATCTAAAAGAATATAACAAAGCATAACATTTTTACTGAAAATGCTAAAAGAAATCTAGGCAAGTGTTCAGGAAAATAAAATACTTTGTGCCTATAGAATGTAAACATGTAACAAAGATTTTAAAATCTTGCATGACCTTTTCACTAAGTATGAGAATTGTAATCCTTTGAATATACATATGTATATGATCTGGACTTTTAATATCAGAATGCGTGTTGGATGAATATGAGATATTAACATTTTATATTAATGTTTGTAGGTGAACCAACAACAGAGAAATTTAAGAAGAAACTGGACAACCATTTGTCCAGAATGATACAGATACAGAATGATGCAGGTGGTTGGCTAGAAGACCTCCAAGGATTCTTCCAACTTTGTTATTCTGTTAAATTCTGAAGTATAAAAAAAAAACAACAACCCTGGTGTGTGCTAATATTAACATAAAGTTCAACTGGTTGGGAACCAAACAGAATTTAAGATTTTTTTAAAAATCTATGAATTAAATAGCATCAGTACATTTTTCTTAGTTTATTGGCCATATTAATTAAAGCATGCTTCAGCAGTCATCATTGCCGCTATAAATTAGGGTGGCTCATAATTCTAAGTTTAATAATGTCAAACCCTTCAGTTTGGCATAATTCAAATGCTCCCCGACATTACTAGATCATCTCCAGTATCCAGTTCTTGATTTTCTGTAATGTGGGTTCTCTGGGTGAATGTAAGAGGGGCTGGGAGGGGGAGTTTTATTGCTTAAAAATAATGGGATAAAATTTTCCTACTTTGCATTACTGAATCAGCTGTTCTGATTTTTCAGCTTAGAAGCAAATATTAGAGATACAAGAAATGTAATATTGGCAAATATCCTGTTTTCTCCTCAAGAAATGTCACTAACTTTGAGCTTGTACAAAAGTACATCAGGATAAAATTTGCTGTTTTAAAATTTGCTCCCGGCAAACCCTCTCTGGTAGCAAATATGGGTAGTTCAGAGTTGCTATCCTATATCAATGGATTTTGTCAAATTCCGAAAACTCAAAACAACGCAGTCTGTATCTTGTCATGGGAACAAAGCTAGCAAATGATACTGTACCTATTTAGGGTTGGATAAGGAGAAGATTTGGTGGATTCATTGGTTTCTCTGCCCTTGCACTTTGTGTCACCAGCCACTAATTCTTCTTCTTAAGGGACTTAAAGTTGAAGCCGATAAAGAATATTCACTGTCCTGTTTGTGCACAAGCATTTTGCAAGTACTGTTGAAAATAAACTCTCATATCAAAAATCTTTTGGGCACAAGTTTATGCCTTCTTTGGGCTGAACACTACTCCAGAGGAGTACTAAATCCATTTTCAATAGTAGCCTAAAACAACCTGCATAAAGTGTTACAAAGATTGGTACCATGCAGCTACCATTACCATCACCACTGGTGGATCAAATGCTGTTCAAATTAATCCAGGTCCCCCAGATGAGGATCAACTGAGAGATCTGATGGGAACTTGAGACGACCTTGGTTTGGGAGAAAAACCTCAGATGGTGGAGGGTATGGGGCCTGGTCACACCAGATTAAAGTAGTCAATAAGTGTCAGAGTGATCCCTGACTGCGCCACTAATTGAATGGTCAATGAAGTATATAAGATTGGCAAAAGGTGCCAAGATGCAGAGGGAAATACAACTTTTACAATGTGCAACTAAGGACTAGGGATCAGATGAACTCATCATCACAGATTTATTTCAGCTATCGTTTGACACAAGTTCAATGTGTGGACGCAGAACCATCCAAACTTTTTCAGAAATCAAATTAATTAACTGTGACCTGTTTTTTCAAGGCCGAAGAATATACACTGCTACAGAAATTAGAGTAACTACTAACCAGGAAAAGAGAGATGTCCACAGCCTCAGAAACATTAATGAAAAGCTCATAGTCCTTAAAGTCAGAGCTGCCTAAGGCAGCATGAGTTTTCCCCCTAAAATAATACAGGGCTGCCAATTTAAGGCCAGTAGGGTTTAATTTAAGTGTTGAGCAGGGGAGTGGGGAGTGGTAGGACAGGAGTCACAGAGTGGCCTTATAGGTGAAAGGGGGGGAGACATGTAAATTAATTAATAAATAAAACAAATAAAGGCACTTTGAAACGCTTAAAAGGGAGAGGGGGGGGGAGAAAAAGCTTTCTGACAGCTTTTTATTTACGTTGCTATTATTATGTTTTTACTAGCAAGAAGTTCACACTTTCTTTTTAGGGTGGGACTTGGGGGCTTGTCAAAACAAACTGGCCTATCAGAAAAGCCAGAAATTGTCCGCTCTCTAAAGAAGGGGCTAATAATAACATTTCAACAGAATCTCCCGACCAAAGGAACAGGGAGGGGACAAGGCTGCCCACTCCACTCTGTCCAACCTGCTCTGAAGGACGGCTAAGCAACTTTTCCACGCGCGCACACGCACACCAGACCAGCAAAGCGACTGCAGCGCCATGTAAACACTCCTGCGACGCAAACCGGCCCAACTAAGCAGCGTTGCTCGGGTTTATCTAGGCGACCCTAACCCGAGCCTTCCCCGCCCCTCCCCTGCAAATGCGCTCCGGTGTTACAAAGGCAACCAACTTTGTGCTTTTTTTGTTTTTTACTTCCCGCCCTCCGGCTAAGAGCGATACAAAGCAAGAAGGGGGCGGGAAGAAGAGGCGGCCCCGCGTCAAAGGCTCCATCCCGCTGTCCTAAGGCTTCCCTTCCCCCAGCATCTCCCCCTAGCTCGCCCCTCAAGCCCACGCCTCTTCCCCGCTGGAGCAGGCAGCTGTCCTCGCCCGCCTCTGCTCCCTTCATCCAGCTCCCACTCACCCGCCGAGCCCAGGAACAGCCATAGCAGCCACATTGCCGCCAGCGCAACAGCCGCTCTGCAAACTTTGGGGGGCTCTCCCGAGTGCCTCCGCCTCTCGGCCCGAGCCCGCCCAGGCCCAGGCTGCTGTGGTGGTGGTGGAGGAGGAGGAGAAGGAGGAGGGTCAGGGGGAGGCTCCCTTCCAGCCAGCCGGACCCTCACGCCCAGCCTGCCGCCTGCCTTCTCGTTCGCTCCCTCGCGTACACCCTCCCGAGTGCTTCTTGCCAAACCAAATGGCCACTGCGCCGCCCTCGCGACGTCCCGGAGCCCAGGCTGCTCCCGCCTTGCCCGAGGGTAGGAGTCGTTGCGACGGCTCACGCCTCCTCCTCGGAGCCCCTTCGCTCCGAGTGGAAAGTAGGTCCAGTGGAGCGCAGCCGGTAAAGCTGCACCAGCCTCTTAAATGCTTCAAATCCCCATTAAAACATCCCAGACAGATTGACGAACAGTTGGCTCCGCCGTCAAACTAATCTTACTTTTCTAACGTTCAAAGGGCTCTGCCTTCCTGTGACTTCATGGTGTATGTGGGCATCTGCCTTAAATCTTTTTAGCCAGCTATTTTAATTATTTTGTCTTTGTTGAGAGATTTCTAGCTGTTCTGGTATAGTTTTTTTGTTTGTTTTCTGAGCCATTTAGTATCTTTTGGATTGTTGAGAGATGCTGTAAAATAAAATAAAATTATAAAAATCCTGGCTATTCGAGCAGACCTGAGGAGTCACCAGCAAATTTGCAGGAATTGCCACTTGATCTCGCTCTGTGATGGCCTCTTGGAAGAAGCCTAAGAAGAAGAAAGGTGAAACTAGACAGGAGTAAATCTATTCTAACTCATTTCTAGACCTCAGACACAGAAAGAGATTCTTTTTCCTGCACTTTTTATTCTTTCTTCCCATCCTGTTCTCTTTCTCTAGGTTTAGCTTGTTTTAATTTTTATTAAGAATTTTAATTATAAGTAATTTTTTTAAAAAAGCAAAAAATATTTTAGTCCAGGTCTGGACAATGCGTTTTAGGAAGGGCCATGATATCCAGAGAACAACCATGATGATAACAGGTCTGGAAAGGGAAAAATCTTATTTTTAGATGTTGGTGTTGCCTTGGGTCTCAAGGAAGAGCAAGCTGGAAATATTTTTTTAGGTGTTCTTGCCAAAGGCATCCAGACAAAGCTTGTTCCAAACCTGGCTTACATACATATGAGCCACATTATCACTTGGTGGCACAGTGGGACCCCTTTCAGATTTTTGTTTTTAGGTGCCTTCAAATCAGTTTTTGACTCCAGGGAACCACCTGAAAAAATCCCTGTAATTTTGGAAGTAGTTTGCCATTCCTATGGATCACATTTATGCCTAAAGTGGGACTTCATCATCTCTTAATATCTACCCTGGTGCATTAATCAGCACACTAAATTGGCTCTTTCAGAACGCAGTCTGAGAATTTAATTTAGTGGTGTAGTGTTGTATAAATAAATGTATTGTGTTAGAAGGTCCTGACACAGCAAAGTTTGGAAAGCTCAGTTGTTCATATTTATTAAAACAGTAGGATTTACTTTGAGTAAATACACAGAGAATTAATTCATTTCAAGCGGAAGAGTATGAATACAATATTGCGCTTTTCCACTATTCATCTGATCTCATCTGCCAAAAGCGTATTTGCTATCTGTTGATCTCTCATTTATTTTCCTGGTATCTCTTGCTGACAGCCAAGATTATTTTTTTCAGTGCAATTAATCTGAAATTTCTTGGTGGATTTTCAGTCTTTCTAAGCAGTCAACGTTCTCTAGCTCCATTGGTGAGATATATGATACATATTGACAAGCACAACTTCCACTGGAATATGTCACACTGCACGTTCAATTATAACCGTATTTAAACTGATATTTAAAATATCAGAAATCAAAGAATTCATTTAAAATCTAGCGATTTGAGCAATGAATTTGCTTGCAAGGAAGCAGTACTTGTGCACATTTTTCTTTAATAAATGTTAAAATAGGTGTTTACATATATACTTGATAATTTGGAAAATTTGTAAATTATGCCAGTGTAAATTTATTCCTATTTTTTGTATCACATATGTACTATATATAATATCGGGAGACTGGAGGTAGTCCTAAACATACAACAGTTCATTTAGTGACTGTTCAAAGTTACAACGGCATTGACAAAAGTGACTTATGACCATTTTTCACACTTGCAATCATTGCAGCATTCCTATGATCAAGTGTTCAAAATTGGCAACTACTCATATTTATGACAGTTCAGGTGTTCTGAAGTCATGAAACCTTCTGTGACCTTTTGATGAGCAGAGTCAGTGCGGAAGCCAGATTCACTAATGAGATTCACTCATATTACTGACTTAACAACTGCAGTGATTCACTTAACATCTGTGTCAAGAAAGGTCATAAAATGGGACAAAACTCATTTAACAACTGTATTGCTTAGCAACAGAAATTTGGGCTCAATTGTGATCATGTCAAGGACTACCTGTATTGATTTTCAGAGGTGTTACAATTAAAATATGAAGTGTTACTGCCCATGATAGTTTGTTTTTCTAGCATTGGTCAACAGGATTTACTTTTTCTGTCCCAGATCGAAGCGATACACCACAAACAATAATGGCACTTCTATACAGTTATTTCCTGAGGGAATCAGAAATACATTCAGTACTTGCATGAAAGTACAAAATAACTTTATTCCAAGAATGTAGTTGTTTCCATAATAGCCTAAAGCTGCCAACTGATTTTTAAAACTGTTATCTACTAATCTGCAAAAAAAATTAATAATAATAATAATTCTGGGTGCAAGTTGAACTCTTGTAATTCATTTTTAATATAGTCAACCATGAAACTTGTGTTCTAGAGATTTATTGGTGAGGATTTCATATAATTTTAAAGGATGAATGTTTTTTATATTATTTTAATGTGTTTTTTTCTAAATAGCTTGAGTGAAGCTTTAATCATCAATCATTACATTTCAAGTGTATGCAATTAATGGCAGCTAATTGCTGTTCACTGCAGAATTTAGCACCAAAAATATATTCTGATAATTAAGAGGGTTGCTTGAAATAAGTTTAGTTGGAAAATTTTGTGAACAAAAAGATGGTGTCCAATGTGATAAGTGGATATTTACAAGTTTTGCTTGTTTTTAAATGCCTTTCTTAGTTCTAAAAAGTTTAACAACTAATGCCATTTAGATATACTATTTCTATGTACAATGTGATTAAAAGTAAAATGCAGTGAAAGAGGGAATTTTTACACATATCTGAGCCTATTTTTCCCATGAAATCTCCTACTGGTAGCATTTGTGCTTCTATCAAGATCCTTTTGCCACAGGCTTACATGCTGTTGGTCAGCAGAATGAATTAGTAGGATTAATACAGTAGTACAAAAAGGACTGATATGGAGACAGCTTGGCTGTGGTATTGCTTGGAAACAGATGCTTCCCCGTTGATAGGAATTTCCACGTCATCCCACACTACACCTCCTCACTTTGCCACCCAGGCTAAAATGAGAGAGGGGGGGGGGGAGAGAGAGAGAGAAAGAAAAGCTTTTAGACTTCCTTGCACAGTGATTCAGTGGGGTAAGCATGCTGCCAATTGGGGGCTAATGGTTGCACTAGTTAGCTAGAGGGAGCTCAGCCCCAGCAACTGATTGGATAGCTGCTGATCATCCTGAATCATTTTGATGGTTTTGAGAGAAGGGTAAAACTGGTTGCTGGCATGAAAGAGCTCAAATGCTTCATCTTGCAGTGTAGCAAGTCTACTCATCTTATATATTCATTCCATTGTTCTAAAATTGCACTTGTTTATAGAATTAATATTTTGTGTGTTGATTCGAATTATACATCGGCCATCTGCCTCTCAGTTTTATCTTTCTGCCACTGGAATAGCGCATGCAATTAAGTCACAATATCTAGTTTCAATATCTATAATATGACTCAGAACTACACATATTTTCTGGCTTGAACACTTAAGTACCCTGGGCTGATTGTGCACTTTTAAATGAAACTCCTTTATCAATACTGTAAAATATCTCTTCCATTCTTTTCTGTTCCATGGAACAGATGGATGGAGCTGTGCATATAATTTTACTGCTTTATACCTGCGCAATTCCAGGGAAATAATTGTAAGTTGCTTTGAACTTTGCAAGTAGGTGGATGGCCAAGCAGGTGTTTCCACTTACTGCTGCAGCTTGTAATGAACAGAAAATGAAAGTGTACATATTCCTATAGAATCATGGCTACATGTACAAAAAAAAAATGTTTTTATGTCCACCTACCCCCACCGCCCACAAGCATGTGTCTGTTTAAAGCATTAACCCTTGAGGAAGAACAAGTTGATTTCCATTTCTGCTTTCTTCCCCTAAGTTGTATAAAGAAATCCTTTAAATCTGGCCAGTTCAAATATTTTTCATTTCTATCATCTTTGAGAATGAAATTGTCAACTTCTTTGTTTATCAGCAGCATACAGTATGTTACTGTAGATTGGATTAACAATGCCACTATAATACATATTCATGTAATAGTTGGTTTTTGTATCCCAAGCAAAAAAAAAAAAGTAACTGTTAACTGTTAGTTACTTTTTTTTTTTTACTTGGAATACAAAAACCAACTAATGGTTCCAATACATAATGAATATGTATTGCATTGCAGTGGTATTGTTAATCTAATCTAATATGTTGCATGTAACTTTATGTTTTGTCAGTTCAATATTATATAATAATGAAAATCATTTTTGATTAAACCAAGAACCTTTAAAAGCAAATTTGAAAATATCAATATTACAGAAAAACACTTTTCAAAAATCATGGGATTTTCTTATTTTTGCTTTTGCTGATCCACGATCAACCAGATGGCTTTGTGTCTGTGGACTAGAACTCACACTCCTGGTTTCTAGCTGATGCCTTTACCACTATACCAAAGCAGTTCTTTTCTAAATGTACTTTTTAAATTTACCTTTCCAATATTTACCTTTTTCCCTACGTCTCTCCTGAACATGTTTGTTCCAGTGCTCTCCTCTCTCCTTTTTAGCTATGATTGTTAAACCCTGGTTTATTTAATGGTTAAATAATTATCAGCTAATCCACAATAGACTAGATTCAGCCACAATATACTGAGCCAAAATACAAACAAAAAATCATACTTTTATTTGCTTTATAAACCCAGCTTCCGCGCTCTCTCCACATA